TGGACTCAAAAAAGTTCCATATAGATTTAACTGATTCGACCTTCAAATTTCCACAACATAAAACTAAAAAGGCAGAATGTTTTTGATCCTATCCATATATTTTAATCTGGAGATTCTTCACCATACTCGAAAACAAAAAAACAAGACAAATTTCCCAGACTCATAGCAAGCTATAGAAACAGTATCTGAGAAGCATAGCACCAACTTCATAACAATCTCTTTAGTTTCCCAAAACAAAAGACCACTCACTTCACCCACCATCTCCTCTTCAAGTCTTCCTGCGACCCACACGGGCAACAAAACCAGCTTTGATTGGTGCCACAGATCTTCCAGATCCGCACTGCAAAACAAGTCAGCCCATTTGTGGTTCTCTCAGTATCCAGTTCAGGATAATATAGCATAAAACAGAGAGCTTTTACGCCCAAATCACTGCTAAATCATCAGACGATGTTCACAGTTGGTACAATTATCAACAGCCCCATCAAACTTAATTTTTGAGATGAATACAAGAGAAAGGTTTTGTGGCTTGTGAAGAATGAAGATAAGACAATGACATGTGTATAAGCTTTTCTTAACGTTTTCACAACAATGTAGGCAAGATGAGATTTATCCCTTAGTTACACAGAAAGGTAAAAAAAACCAATGGCATGCATGTCAAGATCAGGAAAAGATACATAAAGTTTTTTACCTTCTCGCATCTCAGGAAAAACAGACGATTCTCCTTTGAAAGAATCGTGTCAGGGCTCTTGCAGCCAAAGCAAATGACGTACTCATCTGAGAAAACCCAAGCAGGGAATCACATTAAGAACTCCAAATATATCCTTTAATGGCAATTAAAATTTTGAGGCGAAAGAGAGCAATACTTACTGACATATCGCCGCAAGATTCCTTCAAAGTTCTTGGGTGCAAATCTTCCCTTAACAACCAACCTTTGCTGTCCATCAAGCGAACCACTAGTACCCAACTCAGCAAGCAAGAAATTCATAACATGATCTGGTTGACGATGCATCCTGATTTTTTTTTTTTTTAAACACAGATAAAGTATAACATAAGTCATCATCAGAATCACTAGGTATTAGTACTTATGGTTAGTCAAACATTTTTGAAGAAGAGGATAAGGGGTTTGTTCATACGTCTTGCAAAGGTCCATAAAGTTGACAAATACTGTCTTCTTTGTTCCCTCACGAAGAACTTGAGGAGGCCTCATAACTGTACGACGCTTATCTCCAGTAAGCTCCGGATTATTTTCACGGAGAATGTTGAAGACTCTACCAAGAAGCTGCAAATATAACTCCCATAAGCAAAAACCAAGCAGGAGGAAGGGGAATTCAGGAGAAGGATACGTTGACTTGAGCAAAGTATCACTTACCTCGTCATAAATGTAATCTCTATCACTTCCCTCCCAGGAGTAACGCTGTTGCTGCTGCAGATCTATTCCTTCCGCCTCTTCCTCATCATTAGCATGCTCTACAATATAATCTCTGTAAGACTCAAACAGGATACAAATCCAGCTGACAGAAACGGGTAATTAGCAAAATAAAATAAAAAATATACCATCCAAATCTTCTCCAGCATCAACACTCTCATCAGTCAATGAGCTCGGTTCAACCTAACCATCAAACAAAAACAATGTGAGGCAAAGAATCATCAACACACATAATATATAAGAAGGCGTGAAACATTAAACACTCACCGGTTTCTTCTTCTTTTTCTTCAGTCCAGCAAATGTACTCTCAAGACCATCGTTAGCTGGAGTAAAAGGAATTAGACAAACTCACATAAATACCATTGAAGAGAAACAAAGATGTTCAACATCACACAGAATCTTCACCATACCTGGCAACGAATCAGATTTCTCCGCCTGTGACTCTACCGAGTCCTCGACAGGGTCCTGAATGACAACT